CCTAACACAAATTCAGAATGGGGAGTGAGTGTAATTGTGCTTATTGTGAGACGGCTACGGCCGTGAGCCTCTCCCAGTAGAATGTTAAACGCGTATAAGCGACGTCGGCCTTCACATAATAATACCGATCGCAAGGGGAAGATATTAGACAAGGACGATGACCTATATGGATTGCAACGTGTGTATAAGAACGAATGACTACGTTGGCTTACGTGGAGTGTCAACCAATGTAGTTACCTGGAACTAATCTGAGGCCCTCAGACTCCGACGGACCGAAGAAGTGGCCGGAAGACGCGGAGTTGCGAAACGATTCCACCGGACAGCTTTGCTGCAACGAACCTCACTATCCAGATTGCATGAGAGCGGCTTGTCCCAACCTTTGGGTCTCCCTCCATGCAATTTTGCCTGGTAGCTACCCCGGTGTTCGCACAGAGTGCTTCCATCATGTTTCCAGAAGAATAATCCTTCCCACTTCGTCGTATGGCTGCTGGTGCCACTCCGGGGCCATAAAGCACAATAAGCACAATTACACTCACTCCCCATTCTGAATTTGTGTTAGGCAGTAACCACCTCCTTGCTTCAGCGTTCAGAAAATCATGTCGACTACCAGCGCATGAGGAATTGTAAAATTTTAACATGCTCACTGGTACACCTCCACCCACACGAAATCCGTGCAACTAACGCGCAAGACTCAAATTCTACGCAAATCCGCAGTGGCGCGATAAAGACGTTGCCGCAAATAATTCATCCAAAAAGAGCGGCAAAAACTCTTCGTAAGTTCATTCGTTAATACAACTTACAATGAAATTGAAAATTCATCCAGCCAAAACAGTCATTTGCTTAATGAAACAAAACGCGCCCCAAAGCTCCAAATAACATGTTCGAAACTCAGTCCACGCGTCATTCAGCCCATATTTTCTTCGACTTTCGACTCCCCTGTCCTTCTTTTTATTCACTGCAATCAGTACCTACTTGGTATTCTTATTCCACGCAGTTACAGTTCAGTCAGGTACCTTTTTGGCGTATTGTTTGCGTTTTTTATTCGCGCAGCTTGATGAAACAAAACGCGCCCCAAAGCTGACGTCGCGCACCGGCGCCAAATAACATGTTCGAAACTCAGTCCACGCGTCATTCAGCCCATATTTTCTTCGAATTTCGACTCCCCTGTCCTTCTATCCACCTTCTTTTTATTCACTGCAATCAACACCTACTTGGTATTCTTATCCCACGCAGTTACAGTTCAGTCAGGTACTTTTTTTTGGCGTATTGTTTGCGTTTTTTATTCGTGCAGTGTACAGAGGAATTACTGTGTTACTCTTTCCTCCATCATTGGCTTTAATTAATTGTTTTTGTTGTTCTATTCTGGTTTGATTATTTAGTGCAGTTGCTAATTTTTTACAAGTGCAGTTACTTTCTTTGCTTTTTTGCTTCATTAGCACATTATGTAGTGACCAATTCTAAGTTACGTTTGTTTTATCTGTCTGTAACCCTGGAGAATACCCCTACCATTGCGCTCCCACCTCCTACGATCCTCGCACTAAGGTGCAAAAAGCGCGCTGTTTTGGCGTTTGAGCGAGGGGATCGAAATTCATGCAGAAGGTGGGAGGTGTTTCAGATGCGGCGGAGACCATGGGGAAGAAACGTGCTCTACAGTGTGCAAACGGGTCGACCATCACACCGCTCTGTGCTATAACAGTCACCATGTCGTTAATGACTTAGTGAGTGTTAGTTTCAGGCGCTACTTAAGTGAAGCGAAGAACTATGCACGCTTAGTTCGTATTGAGCGCAGAGCCGTACAATATGCAGAGGTGTAGTAAGTGAAGAACCTTGACCAGCGCATTGTCGTTTAACGCGCAAAGTCGCATTTTGCAGAAACGAAACCCGCGCAAAGTCGTTTACCGCACAGAGCTTCATTTTCACAAGAAACCCGCGCACTGTCTTTTCACGAGCAGAGCCTCATTTTGCAGACTAGAACTTCGCGCAGTCGTTTTACGCGCAGAATCATGTTACGCGCAGTGACTTACTTCATAGTCAAATCACGCGCAAAGGCGAATCACGCGCACAGTCAAACCGCGCGCACAGTCAAACCTCGCGCACAATCAAATCACCCGCAAAATCTTATTTCGCACTTACAGGTCTTACGCGCAGAATCTTTTTTTTTTGAACATGCACAATATATACGAAACTCGCGCAAAGCCTTTTTAGGAACACGCAACAAAAACTAAGCGCAGTATCATGTTTAAAAAAACAACAGTACATCACGCGCAGAGCCATATTTTGAATAACTGAATTACGCGCAGTGTCTCATTTGCTCGCATCTTCTTTGAATTCGAAAGTTTTCCGCACACTGTCCAAATTTTGTGTTTTTAAACGGGTAGCTATTATTTCGTGCTAACACATTTCCGGGGCACGCGGAGGGAGACCGCGTCATCTCTTCCGCAGAACCTGGGTCTAAGCTAGGTGCCATTGTTTTGCTGACCCGGTGGGTACCTCCTTTCGTCAGAGGTGAGGAAAAGTCCCCCTCACGTTAAAAGGCCCCGAGGAGCTCAAAATGTTACTCTTCACAAAACCATTAGGCCCTTTTCTTCTCGACTCGTCGCCATCGTCAATCAAATGATCAGCAACCACAACGTCAACATCAGCGCACTGCCGACGATGAGTTGGGTGCTACCTCTGCGATATCGGTCAGCCTCAGGAGCTCAAGTGTGATCTTTGTTATCGATTCTGTTACTCACTGCGTTCTTATGCTTGTATTAGCTAACAATTTTTGTGGTATGATTCATTTTACCCCCGACCGTAATAACCCATGGTACCTCGCACCCATTCGAGTTGGGGAAACACATGGCGATTTAGGCCCAGTCTGCCAGGCATCTATTATTTTGTCTGTACATTTTCGTAGGTAAACAATGTCATCGACTCCCACGAGCGGCCCCACGACTCCTGTCGTCGACTCGCCGCCCCCAGTGTCGTGACTTTCGTACGACCTCTTTTGCCCATCGTCTTCTATTATATTACAGTCGTTGCACTATATCTCACGCGCAGAGTTACTCCAACGCTTACTGGACTTTCGCCCGAGTTCCGCACTGGTCCTACCGCCACTGCACCGTAGCCTTTTGCCTGCGTATCGGCGGGAACGAGAGGATGACCTAAAAAGGGAGATAGTTTCAGACAGTTTTCGACTAACGACACGCACGTCTCGGCTGGAGTCTTTACGAGCTTCGCATGGTTACACGTCCCATCTTCAATACTCCCTCGCTAACTTCGCGCTATTCATCCGCAGTTCCATCGTCGATTATTTATATTGACTACTCTACGGTATTGTACGAGGACGGATCCCGCGCAACATCCATCAATGATCGACAAGGTGAAAAGGATTGTTTTGCACAGCCACGCGGGAGGTTCACTCCTCGATGGTGACGATACTCCCGTTTTCCCTCTGCGTAGCTGTCTATTCCCCGGACAGCCCTTCGTGTGCAGCCCGTGGAAGNCGATTTCCATACCTCTTTATGCGCACAGTTCATCTCATGGATTCAACATCAGTGATAACATGATTGCTAACCCTAAACTCTGCAATCCTTAATTTCTAAGCGCAGTGTTTGGGGGATAGCGCAGGGTTGTATTTAAGCGCAGGGCCACGATGGTCGTTGTAGCTGGAACGTAAGGGCGCAGATAACACCAAAAGGCACCGCACAAGGAACAGCATAGCCAACACCGTGACAAGGCGAGCTTGTCAAGAGCAGTTCTCTTGAGCACTTCTCGGAAGTCACGGCGAAGCACACCCCACAACTTAATGGTATGTATGCAATGGAGAGAGTTCAGTGGGCGATCTACCTTGCTTTAGGGAATTTCAGGATTGAATTTGCAGCAGTAGGGGAATTCACGTTGTTCTGAGGCAGCGAGTTTCCATAGGGAGAATTTAAGGAAGAGAGCTTGATTGTACGGAGGTCGTTGGGATGAGTCTGCGATCGAACACAATTCGACCGAATCGGAAACGAGGCGTCACAGCAGTAATACAAACAATTGCTGAAGATGGCACAGATACGAGAAATTTACAGGATCACCCGAAAGAGAAGCAATGGTGTTCGAAGCTTTATGGAATAGATCAGGACGAGCCCTAAAGAGGGGTGGCCAAATGTGATCTCGAAAAGCATCGCCAAAATCAAGGTGACAGCAGAAGCTTCTGTAGTTTTTGGCAGAAAGGAGAAAATGGCGAGGGCTATCAAAAACATAGGGCCCTGTTGGACCTGGCTGTTTCCAATTTCTCTTCATCGCTTACGGTTTTTTAGTGGAGGTTTCAGCAAAAGTGTAAAAACTCTTCCATGAGTTGCAAAAAGTAGCGTCTGACAACTTTTTTGATGTGTGTTTCTCGGCTAGCCTTTATTTTTATAAACTTTGCTTCGAAACAGACCGTCTCAGCCAGTCACTACTACAAGACACCTGTGGGGGTGGTGCAGTTATGAGTAGTCGAGAAAACTATATATTTTTTCAATGAAAGTTTTGAATAAGATGAAAGCTATAAGTACAATCCACAGGATTGATCCGTCAATCAGATTGCTTGTGCCTTACACGAAAAAACTTTTATTAGCATAAGAGGCAATATGTTCAAAACTTCGGGAAAAGTTTCATGCACTCTTCTTCAACTTCCTTCTTCCACGTGGTGGACATTCGCAGTAATCCTTATCGTTGCCAGGCAAACCGGCCATACCTGGCATTCCAGGGCCGCCGTCAGGTCCATTCAAACCAGATGCTCCCTTCTGTCCAGGCTCTCCTCTAGCTCCTTTTTCTCCAGGTGCACCAGGCTTTCCATCTGCACCTGGCTTACCCGCAACGCCAGGGGCTCCTGTAGGGCCTTGAGCGCCTCGTGGTCCAGGCAAAGCTTTTACTCCATCTTTGCCCTTTTCGCCGTCACGACCATTTGTTCCTCGATTGCCTTCCACACCTGGATCTCCAGGAGCCCCTTCGCATCCAGCTTTGCCGTCTTGGCCATGTATACCAGGCAATCCTGGGCCACCAGGCCTTCCAGGAGGACCTTCAGGTCCGTCTGGTCCTGGTAGTCCCGGGGGTCCTGCAGGGCATCTGACACAGCCAAGTGGTGGAGCAGGGCAGTGTATTGGTGCGTAAACAGTTGTGTCGTCTTTTCCTGGTGCGCCAGGCATCCCAGGCGTGCCTGAAAGAGGGTTTTTTAGCCACACCGAGTCTAACAGCAAAGAAAATTGACTGTAAATTCCCTCGATAGCAGCATAAATACAACAAATAGTAATTAGTTAGAGTAGGAGTAATTAGTTAGTTCACAAGGCTACAGCGTTTGTTTCATTTCGCAATTCCCACAAAAGCCCGCGAGATTGGAGAGCAAGTGGGGCTGGGTTTTTGAGCAAGTTGTCAGTAATTTACCTTGGTCTCTGTCGTTCACTTAGAACGTAGAGCAGCTCTGCCTAGAAAATGGTCGTCGAGCGCAAGCCGTCACTATGTAACTCTTTCTCAACTTGTGCGGTTCCAACATCTCACGGTTCTATCCAAACTGAGTGCATTGAGACGCTGTTGGCAGGGTGAAAATCATAACAACTAGGTGGTACAGCTACAAGATGACAGCAATAGCGACAGCTATTATTAGGCCTGGTGATGCGAAGTAGGAAAAAAATTAGGATGGTTGGCGCAATCCGTGTAGTTGTCAGCTGTCAGTTGATAATCCAAAAAGGATCTTTCGGAAACATCCCAGTAGGTTTTCTGTGTCTTCGAACTATTTTGTGAAAAGAAAGATGTGCAAAGGAAGCAGATAAGCAAGAAGGCTCAAGGACAGGCTCATCCGTTCATGGATCTTTGGAGGATGCCGAAAAAGATTAATGGAAGTAGCCCTTATTTCACCTGGCTCAGCTCCTGTAATGTCCTTACTGAACAGTTTTCCATGTGACAACGTCAAGATCATCCTAATAGGGGATGAGTACTTCTTCGCTGTGTAGATCTCAAATCGTACATCTTCTGTGCTGTATCGGAATTACAGTCCGACTTGAAGTGTGGTCGAAGATATGATGAGGTCGTCTTTATATTAAAGATTGGGAAAGCTATGTAGCGCACTCCCATTGATGGAAGCTAACTGCCAGTTGGCCAGAGCTGTAGCCTTGAGAATAGCTCAAACGTTTCCAGGGCTCATCTTATTCGTTTTTTTGCGCTGCACATGCACTGGTTAGAGCGTAGGAGCAGTTGTAAAAGCTGACTCATATGTTGTGGTCATCAGGGCTGTTCAGCAAACTATTCGCTCAAAAAGAAGAAGACCTTACCAGGCAATCCTGGAGGTCCTGGCGGCCCAGCAGGTCCCGGAGGGCAGTCGACCTTGATCGGTTCACAATGACACCAGGGTGGTAATGCTTTTCTCTTTGATCGGAATATCGAGGTAAACGGATTTATAGGCTCTGACGGCGGCAACAAACGAGTATGAATTGCCATCATTTCGTTCCACGCTGTATCGGTCTGCTGACGGAACACTGCTACTGCGTCCATTACCTAAATGCATCCAGTGAGCTTTCGGATTGTTGCTGAATAAAAATGAGAGCTTACCAGATCATGAATCTCGATGAGATCTTTGTAGAGTCCCGGAAGTACGATGAGACAAGCGGTCAGTGCGACCACAGACGCTGTGGTGGCTGCAGCCACAAGCTGCTTCTCCACTGTCATCCCAGTGTCAAGGACGTTTTAGGCTACTCTTAAATACATGCTTGACCACAATGGTTTCCGTTAGGCTTCATTGTTTTTTCATATTTCTCACCTGTCAGTGGCTATACAACTGCCTGACCATGAATTGTTCAGCTTATCAAGAAAAAACAATTTCGGCTGGAACCAATATGAAGCATTCCGGGAAATGAAGCATCGCTTTTTCTCAACATGACTAGTAACTGAGACCGCTTGAAATTCTCCTTTACAGATGTTCATTACTTCGCGAGTGCTTCGAATATCGCTGTAAGGAGCTTTTCGTTTTTTTGCGGAATAATTGAATTCCTTGATATAATCTTAAGTTCTTTCAGGCTCGCAGTCCCCGCAGTCCAACCAAAAACCCTACAGTATAAAACCCCCTCAGTGTGTTTGTTAAAAATCGTGTGTCTCTGTGTTTGTTTGTGTGTATGTATAGGTGTGTATATGTTTGTATGTATGTGTGGGTCAGTGCGTGTGTCAGGGCGATTGACTAGGAATCATAACTTCAGTATTCCTTAACGTGAAGCTGGAAGCAGCACGGTTGAAACATTGTTGGCGAGTGAGAAGAAACGATAACATCCGTTGAAGGTCAAGAAGTCTCGGAATTTCGATAGTTATAGGAAGCATTCTCGTCGGTACTAAATAATGGGAAACTGCGACTGTGGTAAGGTGCCAGACAGGGCGGTACGTAGGTGATTTTTATATGACCATAAGAAGCTGGTAATAACTAACGAGAACTAATAAGGAGCCATGGGAAACAAGAGCCAATGGATCCACTACGTTTGCCATTTTCACAGTCACAGTCATCAATAACACTCCGGTAGGGGACGTGATGCTATAGGGAGGG